GAAAGCAAGGCTTTGTCAAATTCAATGGAAACGTCAGCTCAACTCATATGATTGTGGGAAAATTATATTACCAGTCCTTCATCACCCACCTTACACGAAATAGGGTGAATACATCTCATCACACTGATTTACTGGTAGTCTCGAAACCCTACTTTCAAACGAATAATAACTGTTTAGCTTAACTTCCTCTAGCGTGCAAGTTTCTCCGAAAAACGTCACTCAAGTCGAGTTCCCCATCACGACTTGACAACAGTTGATCGCAATGCGACTTCCAGGCTTCGGTTACGACAAAAGGACGCTGGACTTCGACTCCATTGACAAGTGATTGACATGATCAGAACTCGAGCTCATTCCTATGACCAATCCAAGTAAGCAAACAGTCTATTCCAGACGAAAATGAAACGTTAATTGCAATGGCATCAGTCAGTGGCAGAGGCTTCCAAGAAAACCAATTCACACAGCAGATCAAGGGGAATCCGACATCATCTGTTGGCGAGATGGATATAAGCAGATCTCTCCATCACACACTTTAGTACTAAGCATAGATCAAAGTGTTTATGCATATATATATATATATGTATATATATATATATATGAAACTATTCAGCTTGTAGAAAATTTGATCAAAGCCAGTTCTAGTGACGTGAACAATACACCCTCGAAACTGTATAAAAGATACCATGCTGGAGAATTTCGCAACCAAGTTGTATGGATATGGGAAAGGGCATAAAGCCAGTTGATCGTATGCATGTTGGCAGGATGAAGAAATGAACCGGAACGGGACAAACAATACAGTTTGAGTGAATGGCGTAGGCAATAAATAAGGCGTGGCATACACCCAACGCAGATAAGTGAGTTTGATTAAGAGTAGGTCGTGCGGCAGCAGAGCAAAATTGGTCGAGGGAATTACCTTCACTTGCTGCTTTAGCGAGTTGTAAGTAAGCGCCTCTCACTGACGGTGTCGACTAGGATGCCGGTTAAATCTGTCAATGATGCTATTCCCGAAATTGCCATAACTACTCAGGTCGACGGTTATGGATTGGATACATCCCACAAAGTCAGCCAAGAAGCGAAAACAAAGTCAAGCCAATACTACCCTCAGAGGAGATATGGGGAAACGTTGTTATCGAGACGTTTGTCGAGGCGAGTGGAAGAGATTTGTAAACTGGCCTCTCCAGAAACCGAGGGAGGATTGCCTTGGAGCTGTGAC